CTCTGTAAACACAAATTAGTTAGCATAAATCAGTTAAATGACGAATAATTAGGTGTCTATTTACTTGTGACCACTCAGTGTATTTCTACCAACTTAAATTCTTCAGCATACATGTACTAACAACAGAAAAACATAAAACAAATACACATGTAACAAGATAACTTATATAAACTTTACCTCATTGTTATTACAATTTTATAATTAAAATTAAAAATTAAGACTAACATACATTGAACTCGTACACTATTTTATCAAATAATTCAACTATCAATACATCATACTTACTTGTTATTCCCTCAGCAGCAATTTCATGCATCTTACAACAAGCTGAGATCATTCTCATACCCAACTGGTCCACCACTAGCACCTTCCATTCTCCTTTCTTTTTCACAGCCTTGATGACATCAGTCATTATCTCTGAACCAAAATATTTGATTATATACCTCATAAAAATACCATTATGCAGTACTTACAACACATACCTGGATAGCAATGCCACTTGACAACAAGGCCATGCAATAACCTCCTAACACCTATCAGATATTTTCTGCTCACACATTTATCAGACAGAACCTTGTTATGAACATAACAGTTACTACTTCTTTTGATAACTCATGCTATAAATTAACCGCAATGACAAGGTTAAGTTTCTGTCCTGTCTCCTAAAAGTCAATTTAAAAATTACTCTTTACTGTAAATAATTTTTCCCTCTTAAGAGATGTAAAGCATTGTGGCTTCTACCAGAGGCACTTAGGGTGGAAATCTTTAGTTGATATGAATACTCTGAATCTAAGGCAGCATTCTTATAGTTATAACAGTTCTCTATGATAATGATGTTTCAACTGTGATTGACTTATTCTGATCCTAAGTACCCTTTTCTCTTATGTTTTGCAATGTAATTCTCCTGTTCAATCAAGGTATATTGTACATTTAATTAAATCAAATTAGTTTCAATGTACATAAACTACAAATAAAATTTTTGACAAAACTCATTACACACACAGTGGACAATACAGAAATGAGCCTAAATGGCACTAGGCACATGAGTATCATGCAAAATAAAAAAAAAAAGATAAATTTAACCAACAAACAGATATTTGAGTACATACAATGTTAATGTAAATCTTTTTCTAACAGCACATTGAAGTATGCTTGTATTCCCCACAAGATTGGTTTAAATATTAAAATAATTTTCATAATATCCATCTGTGAGATTCTCAGGTGCATTGATTTACTCCAAGTAGTTCAGGGTGGTTTCATGGAATAACAGCATGTTCAGCAGAATATTTTATGCAGTTTAATCAAGCTTGTGAAAGAAAGAGACTGGACTGTACGCAGTTTGCAAAAATGTGAAACTATTTATTCACATAATCAAAGAGAAACAAATGTGCAAGAAAGGTCAGCACCTTTTCTGGAGATTTGAGAGCTCCTGACAATATCTGGTGGGAGTTGATGTCAAACTCTGCAAAGAACTTTTCCAAATTAAGAAAAAATAGCATTATATACATAAAACAATGTATTATTCTCAGGGTGTATGTGCTACCCACCTCACTATTTGTAGTTCCCATCAAAAAATAATGGAGGTTTAAACCACAAGGTATCACTTGACATGTCTACTTTTATAGTACCTGTATGTTAAAATTTATAGAAATCTTTCCCACAAAAAGGCACACTCGATACTCTAGTTGAATGACCCCGAACAACAGGAACTATGGCAAAAGGAATTCGGCTACTTACTTGAGAAACATTCTACAGTTTAACTACATATATCTGTATGCACAATTTTTTTTTTAAATTCCATATTAACCCTAGAATGCCAGTGTTTAATTTCCAATCATTAAGACCAGATGGTATGGGGTCATAGTGACGCCAGGCTAGTGTTCTAGGGCTAAGTAAGGTGGTTGATAATTTTTCAAAAGAATCTAAAATACTTTACTTAGTAATACATTAACTTTAGATGAAAGTACTACAATTGTAAATACTTTGTACATGTGGTAATTGTTTTAAATACTATATAATAATTAAGATTTAACATTCAAAAAAGTTCAAACTAAAGCAATGGATTTCATGGAGTAATACTTTAAGAGGAAAAATTAAAGAATTTTAGAATCATAGAAGCAGATTTCACCAGGAAAAGTTACACACTTAAACAATCTTAGAAGTAAAGGATGCTCTGGTGAGAAAAATGAAGGAAAATATTGGGTTTACAGCACTAGAGAAAGTTCAGAACTAAAAAAAAAAAAAGCTTAAATTTAGTTAGTAATTAGAGCAAATCTTTAATCTTATGAGATCATGGATTTTCAAAGACACGAGTTAAATATACAACTCAGCTGAAAACTCTAATATATATATATATATAAAAAAATAATGAGTTTTGTTAACTATAACACAAATAATTGCAATTAATGAATTTTAATTAAATGAAGATTATGAAAATAGATTTTAAGGTCTTTTGAGGGTACTATACAAATTAAAAGTAATTTCTTCATGTTAAATATGACTTCACAAATGTGGGCCAGAGAGTTGATGTTTTTAAAAGAGGAAAGAAATGCTGACATTTTCTACAGATCTCTTGACATTCATAGGAATATACACAGGCAGATTAGTTATGTAGCTAACAGCAACACATTAAAATTGACTAGACAATTTATGTGATACTGTTTTCTCTCTTTGCATGGATATATCATCTTACTATGAAAGATATTATCTTATATTTAATTATAAGAAACAAGAAGGATATGATAAGAATTATAGTTGTGCAAAAGCACCAGAGTACTAATGATCATAATACAGTATCATCACACCTTTTACTCAAAAAAAAAAAAAGACATGGATTTATAGTAAGTCATATCCCTGATTTTAGCAAAGTTAGCTTCCACAAACTACAAAATATATGAGAGAGAAACAGAAAGTCTATTCCAAATGGGAAAAATATTGGTGAAGTTTAGGATGTCTATTGATTTAATCAAACTAAATGTATAAATTCCTTTATAATCTTGCTTTACAAACAAGCCAATTTTTAAATGGGTGAACAAAAAAATTAAATTAAGTTTACACACAAATCACTAAGGTTTAAAAAATGAGAAATCTATTAGTTTTAAGGATGATACTAAAATTGATTGAAATATACAACGTTTAAAAATATAATGTTGTATTGCTACAGTTAAGATGAATTATGAAAGTCTGTTTACTTGAAACAAAGCCTCTTTTGAAAAATTATGCATACATGTGAATTAACTGCAAAACATCTGTCAAGAATAACGATTCTTTTAGATTCTAACAAGAACCTATTACAGAAGAAAATGGCTTAAGTGTTTGCTGGATTTCGCACTAAGCTACATGCGGGTTACCTGCACAATACATCCCTAACTTTGAATAGATTATAAAAGGCAGATAGACAATACCATCCACAGCCAACTAATCAGCTACTCCTGTTGCACCAAAAAGTGGGATTTGACCACCATTTTTATAATGCACCCATCACTGCAAAGTTGGATTGCAGTTTGTTGTATTTGGCAGTAACAGCAATCAAACCACAGACAGAGCAGAGTAATTAATGAAATTTTCTAACTTATTAATCATCATGCTCATTAATTTATAATCCTCATGAAATGGCTAAAATAAAAAATAAAAAAAAGCAAAGATTAGTCCATTGTGTAGCTCTGTGATTAACAACAAAGAAACATAATGACAATATTCTGATTACTTGGATAGTTGGAATAATAAAAAAATGGTGTGTGTGTTTTATGCCTAGAAAAATTTTGCCCCAAAAAGGAGAATGAACACCAGTTTTAATAACTGAAAATAAAGGAGTGTCCCACTTTTATAATTTGAAAATCTGGTCACCCAAAATATAGTACAGTTTTGGTCTCTAAAAAATTATACTGATTTATTATAAAGGGTTCAGAGGGATACTGGGATGATTCCAGGAATGGAAAGGTTATCTTGTGGGAACAAGTTAAGGCAACATTTTCTATTGAGAAAACAAGGGTAAGAGGTGAATTTTTTGAAATTTACAAGATTATTAAAGGATT